CACACAACGCAACAAGGTCGAATCATGGTTACGCTTGTAAAGAATGCCATTGCTGATGAAGAATTTCGCCGCGAACCTCCTCAGAAACTTCTTGTCATTAACAGATGCACCCTCGGGGTACTCCTGAGCCTCAAGGTACCTCTTCACCTCATGATACCAGGGTTTTTCTGTTACCTCTTCAGTCTCAAGATCACAGCAATGTGCAGGTTCGTCCAATCTTTCAATGATAATCCGGGGAGCTTCGTTGTCCCAATTGACTTTGAACATAGAAGACATCGTAGCTAGCGCGTCCGCCAACTGATTCTCCTCTCTAGGGAAGTGTTCAAAGGTTATCTTCTCAAAATGTGGAAGCAACATCAATACATACTCCTTGTAAGGAATAAGGTTCGGGTGTTTCGTATCCCACTCTCCTTTGATCTGACTGATCACGAGAGAGGAATCTCCGAAGACACTTAGAAACTTAATTCTTAGGTCAATTGTTGCTCGAAGACCCGTGATGCATGCTTCATACTCCTCCATATTGTTGGTGCAGTTGAAACATAGTCGGGCGGTAAACGGAGTATGATAGCCTTTAGGAGATATGATCATGGCGCCAATGCCATTACCCAAAGCGTTTGAAGCTCCATCAAAGTACATAGACCATCGGGATCCTTCCTCAGGTCCTTCATCCGGTCCAGGTGTCTCACAATCAGTTACCAACATGATATTCTCATCTGGAAATTCAAAGTTCATAGACTGATAATCATCCACTGCCTGATGTGCCAAATGGTCTGCCAACACACTTCCCTTGATTGCCTTTTGGGTCGTATATTGGATGTCATACTCAGTCAAGATCATCTGCCATCTTTCTATTCTTCCGGACAAGGCAGGCTTCTCGAAGATATACTTGATTGGATCCATCTTTGATATCAATAGAGTAGTGTGGGTCAGCATATACTGTCTCAGTCGGCGAGCATCCCATGCCAAAGCGCAACAAGTTTTCTCGAGCAACGAGTATAGGGTCTCGCAGTCGGTAAACTTTTTGCTAAGGTAATAAATAGCATGCTCTTTTCGGCCAGACTCGTCATACTGCCCCAGCACACACCCCATTGAGTTGTCGAGTACTGTCAAGTATAAGATCAGAGGTCTCCCTTCAACTGGAGGCATCAGAATAGGTGGCTCCTGGAGATACTCTTTGATCCTTTTGAAAGCGGCCTAGCATTCATCGTTCCAACGTACTACTTGATCTTTCTTCAGTAGCTTGAAGATTGGTTCACAAGTAGCGGTCAGATGTGAGATGAATCGGGCAATGTAGTTCAGTCGTCCTAGGAAGCCTCTGACTTCTTTTTCTATTCTGGGAGCTGGCATTTCCTGTATGGCCTTCACTTTTGCAGGATCCACTTGAATACCTTTATCGCTTACGACGAAGCCCAGCAATTTACCAGATCTCACCCCGAAAGTGCACTTGTTCGGGTTTAACCTCAGCTTGTACAACTTCAACCTGTCAAATAGCTTCTGAAGGTGGTCAAGATGTTCTTCCTCAGTCTGGGATCTTGCAATCATGTCGTCGACGTACACCTCAATCTCATGATGGATCATGTCATGAAACAAAGCAACCATGGCACGCTGATACGTTGCCCCAGCATTTTTCAATCCAAAAGGCATGACCTTGTAGCAAAAGGTACCCCACTGAGTAACAAAGGTGGTCTTCTCCATGTCTTCGGGAGCCATTTTAATCTGATTATAACCAGAGAAACCATCCATGAAGGAGAATACATTATGCTGAGCGGTGTTGTCAACCAGAACGTCGATATGAGGTAGAGGGAAATCATCCTTGGGGATTGTCCTGTTCAGATCCCTATAGTCAACACACATTCGAACTTTACCATCCTTCTTCGGCACAGGAACTATGTTGGCCAACCATTGAGGGTAAGAAGTAACTGCTAGAAAACCGGCGTCAAACTGTTTCATAACTTCAGCCTTGATTTTCTCAGACATCTATGGGTGCATTCGGTGGACCATATGTTTCACTGGAGGACAGTCTTCCTTGGTATGCAGGCAGTGAACCACAATATCAGTATCCAAACCAGGCATATCTTCGTAAGACCAGGCTAAGATTTCAACATAGTCACACATCATCTGAATTAACCGTTGCTTCACACTAAGCTCCAGATTTGCACCGATCTTGACCTCTTTCTTGTCTATCTCTGTACCCAGATTCACTGATTCCACTGGTTCTTCGTGCGGCTGAATAACCCTCTCTTCCTGGAGTAGCAGTCTAGCAAGTTCACCTGGCACTTCACAATCATCTTCACCTTCGTCTTCGGTTAAGTTGATCGGATTTTCAAAGTCATAATTGGCAGTAGCAGAGTCGTTACCAGTAGGATCCAGAGTGGACGTGGACCTGTATATGTGAGTGTGTGTAAAATAGTTGTTTTGTAATATATAATAAAAGAAAAACAAGGAGCGCAAGATTTGAAATGAAAGAAACGTCCAATGATTTTATTAATGATATATGAAAATAACACACATAAAGCCCTCACAAATGAAGCCACGGTGCCCCGGGTAAGACACCGGGCCATAAAGTTTAAAACATTGTCTGTTACATATTCAAAACAAAAGTTTCATTACTGGGTGATACCAGAAACGAGCATAGAATCCTTCGCTGTCCAGTTGCTTAATCCACCATCGGCAGTTGGGGAGATCCAACTGTCAATATCAAACTCTTCATCATCGTCATCCCCAATAGCATTCACCCCTGTGTCTTGTTTAGGCTTCTCTGGTGCTCTGAACTCAATCTCCTTCGCACTGATCAAGTCTTGTACCTTATTCTTCAAAACCCAACAATCATCTGTATCATGCCCCAGGCTATCAGAGTGAAAAGCACAACGGGCATTAGGGTTGTACTTTGGTGATGTAGTATTTGGATTCTTCGGGGCTTGCCTTGGAATCACTAGGTTGGTTTTCAGTAACTGTGGCAGAATCTGAGACAAAGTCATGCTGAGACGGGTGAATTGCCTTCGAGGTCTCTCGTCTTTTGACTGATTATTATGCTGAGGAGCACCAGCAGGTCTTGAAATGACAACCGCATTAACAGCTTGGCGGCGTTTAGGTTTATTTTGGCTTTTCAAACTGTAGACATCACTGGACTCTTTCTTAAAAGACTTCTTCTCGGTGCTTGATGAGGCACCCTTCTGTATCTTACCAGCCTTAATACCAGCCTAAATTGTAACACCCCTTCTAAATACCCCAATTAAAGGTAAAGATTAAAATCAGAGAAAATAAATTGCACGAAAGGGATGTCACAACACACATCACATTCCAAAATTTTAAAGAAAAACGGACAGGGTACGTTTGTAAATTTAAGCATATCAACACAAAACAAACATACATAAATATTTAACCTCTTTCTCTCGTGCAAACGAAATGGAGTTTCAATATTTAACTTCATCTCCATTCATGGAGGAATCAAAACATAATTCAAGGCATCAAGCCATAATAATTCACATCAAGCATATGTTATCAAGTCTCACATACACAAAATAATAAACACAAAGTAAGGATTATATACATCATAATCCGAATACAAAATAGACGAGTTCGACACTAAATATACCCCCCAGGTGTTACTACCAAAGCATCGACTCGACTCTAATCAAAATAAAACAGATTGCAATCCAATGCATCCGCTAACTAGCGCCTCGCGCTACCATCCTCGGTACCTGAACAATGCCATCAAAAGCATTTTCAAACAGAAGGGGTAAGAATTCCAATAATCATATAACATGTAATTAAGGTAAAGCAATGGCAATAAATAAAGCAACACATCATGATCATATTCATTTTATCACATATAGTATCCGTACTCAAGGAAGTCATTTCCAACACATTAACCATATAAACCAATTATCCGAATACTCACATCATTGGCACATAACCATTATTCAAACAACAACAATATTGGCACATAACCAAACACATCAACACACATACACCATATACACAATTATGCATGTGAATCACAACACGACTCAAACACATGCGAATGCGGTACCGACTTGTGGACCCAAGGTTCCACCACCTATGTTTCCCTTCCGGATCAAGGTCACTACGTCTTTTCCCACAATAGGGTCACCGTCTAGATATTGTGGACCCAATGTTCCACCACCTATGTTTCCCTTCCGGATCAAGGTCGCTACGTCTATTCCCACACTAGGGTCATCGTCTAGATATTGTGGACCCAATGTTCCCCCACCTATGTTTCCCTTCCGGATCAAGGTCGCTACGTCTATTCCCACACTAGGGTCACCGTCTATAAAATCATGTAATCCACAGTTTCACCGTCTCTGTTTCAAGACCAACCATGCCATGCAATGTACAATATAACCAATGTATGCAATTAAGATCCACAATAATCTTAACATACACATTCCATCAAATCCAACCAATGGAACATCAACTATTGTACATGCATGCATACATATAATTTAACAATCACAACGTCAAGTAAAATGTATACAAACAAGTTACTTACTCAACCAAAACATAAACTATCAACTATCAAACAATTCCAAATCGGAAAGTATATTTCAACATAAAGTCATCATCAATGAACCGGCATTACTCTCAATGTTACTCATAGCGATCGAGTCACCGGAATGTAACTCGAACGGTTAAATTCGGGATTAAACTCAATTTATTTCATTTCGTACTAAAATCGGGTCGATTCTTAAAAATTCGAAATTTCGCAAAACGAACTTCACTATGTTAATCTACACGTCGAATTATGCTAGCACGTCAATTTTCGTTAAATTCGGAGCAACTTGCTCCATCACCGAAATTGCCGAAATCGAGAAATCGGAACATAATCGGGTTCCAAATTAAATCGGCTAACTTATGCCATATTTGTATTTAATTAATATAAATATTTAATATATTAAATTAATAAAAAAAAAACAAAACAAAACATAAATTAAATAATTAATTAATTTTTCTAAACTTATTTCCATTATACTGCATGTTTACATTTTTTTCTCTAAGCTAGTGCATAGTTCTTGTTTTTGTTTAGCTTCTTCAAAGCTCCAACATCCATCGATAGCCTTAGTCTCATTAACCTTGGCTTCAAGAGATTCTTGTTGGGAAACAAGTGTAGGAAACTTTCCTGCCTTGTTTAGACCAGGACCCAACAAACGTGGAATCTGCTTGATAACAGCTTCAGAAGCTAAAAAAAAAGCATGGTGCTTCTTTGCCAATTTCTTCACCAGTTTCTTGTTTTTACTGAAATCCATTTAATCAATACACTTCAAGCATAGATTTCTAAACTTAATACAGTAAACATACTTCTAGCTTTTATAACTTAACTGCTAACTTAGAAAAGAGATATACTGCTACTGCATAATTTTGTTTTTAGTTTTCAAAACTTAATTTAATTAATATAATCTCTATTTTCTTTTTAATTCCAATTTAACTAATCTAATATTAATTCAACAACAACAACACCTAATTAACTCTTCTAATTTCTATCACAAATCCTCAACAAAACTAAAAAAAAACCTAACATCAATTTTTTTTCCCAAATCCAAAATATATCAAATCAAACTCTAACTATAAGCATTGGAAAATCAAACCCCTTACCTTGGTGTGGGTTTTCTTGAAACAAGATGATGATGATGTTGCAACTTCAAACCTAGCTTCCTTTCTTCTCTTCTCCTCTTTCTCTCTTCTTTTCTTTCTTCTTTCTCTTTCTATTCTTACCAACTATCCTACTTTCTATCTTATAAAACAAATTTTACTACTACTTACTTTCCTCCCCCTAACTTTCTAAAATTCTAAATTGGCCCAATCTATTTAATTCAAATTATATCATATAATTCTATTAAAACCATATTACATTTAATTAATATTTATTCCATAAAAACTAAATTATACCGATAAATCAAACGAAGCCCAATACACACCAAAATAATATTACTCAAAATAGTATTTTATCATTATGAATATTTTTATTTCAAATAACCGAATTAACATTTTAATTGATATCAAATAAATATATTTCTTAAAATAGATTTAATTTGATAATTTCGGAAAAAAAATAACTTAAATAACATTTAATCAAAAGCGGGGTGTTACAACTCTCCCCCACTTAGAAGATTTTCGGCCTCGAAAATTACCTCTAAACGAACAACTCGGGATAGGAATCCCGCATCCGACTTTCAAGCTCCCACGTCACATTACCATTCTCCGAACCACCCCATGCAACTTTAACCAAAGTAATCTCTCTTCCTCTTAGTTGTTTCACCTTTCTATCTTCAATCCTCACCGGTAAAACCTCAACCGCCAAATTGTCTCTTACTTCCAAATCATCCGCTTGAATAACATGAGACGGATCCGCAATATACTTTCGTAATTGCGAAATGTGAAACACATCATGCAAATTTGAAAGTGATGGCGGCAATGCAATCCGATAAGCCATACTTCCAATCCACTCTGAAATCTGATAAGGACCAATAAACCGAGGTGTTAACTTCCGCGATTTAAGCGCCCTTCCAACACCCGTAGTTGGATTCACCTTCAAAAACACATGTTCATCCTTCTTGAACTCAAGAGGTTTCCTCCTCTTGTCATAGTAACTCTTTTGGCGATTCTGAGACACTTTCATCTTCTCTCTTATCAATTTGATCTTATCTGTAGTCTCTTGAACCAATTCCGGACCAACTATAGCACTTTCTCCTGTCTCGTACCAACACAAAGGTGTCCTACACCGTCTTCCATACAATGCCTCAAAAGGAGCCATGCCAATGCTAGAATGAAAACTATTATTATAAGTAAACTCAATCAAAGGCAAATGACTCTCCCATGAACCTCCTTGATCCAAAACACAAGCACGCAACAAATCCTCAAGTGACTGAATTGTTCTCTCCATTTGACCATCCATCTGAGGATGATAAGCGGAATTCAATCTCAGCTTAGTACCCATGGCTCTTTGTAAACCTTCCCAAAATCTTGAAGTGAAACGCGGATCTCTATCTGAAACAATACATGTAGGAATACCATGTAAACAAACAATCCGTTCCACATACAACTTAGCAAGCTTCTCCATAGTATAATCCATCCTAATCGGAATAAAGTGTACAGATTTAGTCAATCTATCCACTATGACCCAAATAGCCTCATGGTTACTCGGAGTCCTCGGCAAACCAGAAACAAAATCCATCGAGATACTATCTGTTTACCTTGGTATTTGGTAAACAACCGCTGATCCTCCAAATGGTTACTTATTTGGTTACTCGCAGGATCGATCAGATTGATCCTAGGACATAGGTTGATTTTGAAGTTTTGGATTAAATTGGCTATGGGTTAAGTGACAATAAAATAAAGAGGCTTTAAGTAAATTGCATGAAGAAAGGACTTGGTAAAATAAATAAGGCTTTAAATGAAAGGCTTCGACAGGAAAGTAAAGAGGAAAGCAAGTAAATTTCTGGAAAAGTAAATGACTTTGATTAATAAAGTTGGTGTTTCACACATACATTTCTCAACAATTCTTTCTCACACGCTGGGTACTCGAATCTATATGAGTGACTTTGTATAGAATTGTGAACACACGCGAGAAACTACATGACTACTACTATTTATACTAAAACATCCCAAGTAATCGTCGGGCAGTTACACTGCTTCGAGATGAGTCCACTTGGCACGTTCTCAACGTTCGACGCTCCAGATCTTTGCACGTTGCACTTGGTAACCGCTGGAAACCGTTTTCCCTCCAAACGCTTGAATTTCAAACTGTTCCACTCTGAACCATCGAACACTTTCGTCGAGAAGCATCTTCGACGAGAAACACCTCCGACGTCGAAGGCAACCAACTTCTCCCTTGGAAGAAATCTTCTAAGTACCTTGCCATCTTTCAATGGGTATTTCGACAGACCTAGCTAGTCGAAAACATCCTTCAGCTTTAATGGCTGACATTAATAAACAAGGGTGTCGAATTTAGGAGCCAACAAATTGCCCCCCAAGAATGCCTTATTTCGACTCTGAAAGAAAAAGGCATTCTTTGAAACGCCATTCGACACCTGTCTTTCCACGCTTAGTCACAAATTAAATTGTGCACTTTTTGTTGTCGTCTACCAACCACTGGCAATCCCAAGAAAATAATCATTTATCCGTACCTAAGACGTCATTTCAGTATGGCGTGCAGTGCCAAACGTCATTTTAGAATTTGTCATTATGACAAATCCCAAAAACGAGGACGCACGCTGCGTCTCTCTATTTCTGCAGAACGGCTAAAACAACAGGGGGATGCCACGTGTCCCACTATCTCCTGCAATAATTAAATGGCATTTAATGTCCTCGGTTTTGGGGATTTTCCCCCACTACTATAAATAGCAGTAAGTACCCCATTGTGGGACTTTTTACGCCATTTAGCTTTCAAACTTCTCTATTTTCACACAAACTTGTCATCTTTGCAAAACCCTTTTTTCCTTCACTTCGTCTTCACACTCACCATTAACAATGGCATCTGGTTCCAATGCTCCTAGCGCTACTGCACCATCTGGAAACGCCAAACCTAAGGTTTTCGTCACTGCTCCAGTAGTAACTGCTACGGGCCAACGAAGGGTCCCTGAACCCTTGGACATCGCCGTTCGTGATGCTTACTCACACCACCTTATGATCCCGGTTGGATATTCCAACCAGATCTTTGCTATGTCTGGACCCTTATATCCAAGTATTGCTGAGGCCATGAAGATCAAGAGTTATTTTCCGGTAGTTGAGAAACTCAAACCGGTTGCATGCACCAAGAAAGACGCAGAGGACAATGAAGACCCTGCGCATGAAAAAATCGACCTCCGTTTCTTCAACAGAGGTGTTAGGGCCTTCAGGTCTGGCCCTAGCCTTACTCCTGATTACGTTGCTTGGCTGGAAAAGATGGAAAAACACCAAGCTTCAATCTGGAAAGATATGGGGATTTTCGACCTGGTGATGTTGTCGAAGATAGGATTGAACTATTCCCCGGAGATGTTGATAGCTTCTCTACTTTTCTGGGACTACTCCCACTTTACTTTCCATCTTCCCTGTGGGATGTTGACTCCTACACTCTTCGATGTGGCCGCTATCACTGGCCTTCGACCCACCGGGGACTACTTCGATCTGGAGGAGATGTCGGAGGATCAAATTGGATTTTCTGACACCAAACCAACCTATACCACCTTCATCAATCATTACCACGATAGATCGACAGATGCTGTGTCGGATGTCGAACACATAGCGTTTCTAGCCTTATGGCTGACTCGCTTTGTGTTTTGCTCGAAGTCCTTACAGGTGACCAAGAAGATGGTCACTCTCGCCACTCAACTCCATCATCGCCAAAACATCTGTTTGGCAGAACTGATTTTGGCTAGCCTCTATGATTCGATTAGCAATGGGGCAACTCTTCTAAAAATTATCGAGAACAGGGCCAGTTTACTACTTGCTGGGCCTTTTTGGCTGCTCCAACTGTGGCTCAATTCCACCTTCGAATCTTTCTTGCCTAAGAAGGTTCCAATAAACGAGCAGGCTCCAGAGATAGCGAACAGACGCGTCGAAGGAACCAGACTGGCTCTGTTGACGCCTATGGAAGATGGACTGGAGTTTCAGCAAACCTTCACCAACTTCGTTCTAATGTTTGCTCGAAGGAAGGAGTTTGCTTCGACTATGGCTCTGTTTGCTCGACGGAAGGTAGGCCCAGCATGGTTCACAAGGCCACATCCAAGGACGTCGAGTGGTCCTAATGTTGACGAACATACAATACTGTGGGAGGCGTTCCTGACACCAAGGATCATGCCTCTTCGATTCAGGAGCTCTAAGACTCACTTGAGTCTGATTGCATACCAACCAAACCTGGTATCTCGCCAGTTTGGTATTATTCAAACCCTACCTTCTCCAATCTTCCCAAGAGAGAAGTCTATGTTGTACTTCTGCAATGATTACACCGAAGAAGCCGCCATTAAGCATATCGGAAGATATGCTGGTCGAACAGTTCTCTCGTTGTTTGACTACCAGCTCAACTTTCTTTGCTCACCATCCTTCGAGGAGTGGTGGAAAAGTTATTACGCTGAGGAGTTTTTCAACGAGAAGGACTTCGTGGATGAGCTTCAGAAATCCTTTGTCCTCGTGTTGGACAAAATAAAGAAATGTAAGTTCATCCTTTCACATTACTTTGTCTTTCTCTTTCGACTGCTAGCCTGTTAACTATTTTATTTGCTTTCAGTTGTTCGAAAGCCTGCAGCCAAGAAGGCTGCAGAAGGCCAACAGG